CTTTGACCAAAATGTTTTATCTTAATACTTGGTTAGTGACATTCAGAGTAACTTTGAGCCCACTGAAAAAATAATATGCTTTTGATTTGTGCACCAAGACTCATTGTGAATCACAGAGAAATGCTCTTATACACGTAAAGGAAAATTCATGGCACTAATTCCAGTCAACCACAAAACGGCAGAAAGCTCAAGAGTTAAACAAATAAGTAAAATAATCTCCCCACCTAAACAAGACTTTCCAGTCCTCCAGAGAGGGCAGGGGTGCTGTTAGATCTATTATACGTGGTGGCGATTCTGAATTACTCGTATCCTAAATGCAGGGAGAGTGACAGTGCTAAGAAAGGACGCCGAGTGGGAAGAAGCACGAGTATACAGAGAAAGGTGGGCCAGCAGAACACTCTGGGGAGCCCTGTGTACGGGAGGAGAGAGGCAGAGCTAAGTGACAGCTGGGAGATGCTCAGCTTCACCAGTCACTGGGGCAGGGGTGGGGAACGTCTGACCCCCGGCCCTTGAAGTCACCTGGTCTGGCCCTGCCAAGACAATCGCAGGTAGGACTTGAAATTTAATAAATCTACAGCAGGCTAATTTTTAAGTTGATAATCTTGTACAGCCTGTGAATGTTGTTGTAAATACCCAAATGATCCTTGGTAGAAAAATGGTTCCCCACCCCTGCTTAGGGAAACACAAATAAAAACCACAGTGAGATGTCTCGTCACACCCAGCAGGATGGTTACAATCAGAAAGGTCTCGAAAGCGTCAGTGAGAATGTGGAGAAGTGGCAAGCCCACTTACTGCTTGTGGCAGTGCACGGTAGTGCGACTACTCTGGAAAATTGTCTACCAGTTCCTCAAAACACCAAACATAGTTGCCACAGAATTGTATATTTTAAAAACTTAATTGTATATTTTAAAACATTTATATTTTAAAACATTTGTGTGTGTGTGTGTGTGTATATATATATACATATATATATATACATATATATACACACACACACAATAAAAAGTTAAACATAGGATTAGTATATGACTCAACAGTTCTCCTAGGTATATACCAAATGCACATCCATATAAAAACTTGTACACAAACATCGACAACACATTATTCTAGTAAAAAGGTAGAAACAACCCATTAGATGCATCAATAGATAAACTGACAAATAAACGAAATGATATTTTCTTACTTGCAATGTATATGTGGAATATAGTATTCTACATAAAGGAATATTTTCAGCCATACAAAGAAATGAGTCACTGTTACCTCCTACACATGAATAAACCTTGAAAACCTTATGTTCAGTGAAGGGCCAAAGGACCCAGTCACACAAAAGTGTCCATATTGTTGACCCCATCAATGTGGTAAGTACAGAACACGCAAATCTACAGAGACAAAGTAGGTTAGTAGTTTCCAGTGGCTCAAGTGACAGTTAAATGGTCATGGAATTTCTTTTTTGGGTGATGAAAATGTTCTGACAATAGATAGCAGTGATGGTTGTACAACCTAGTGGATGTCTAAAAACATGAAGTGGTAACTTTAAAAGAGGGAATTTCTGCCATTGCTGTGGCACAGTGGGTTACAGCCATGGCTTGCAGCACCTGCATCCCTTATGGGCACCCATTCAAGTCCCAAGTTCTGGCTGCTCCACTTCTGATTCAACTCCCTGTTAATGCATTTGGGAAAGCAGCAGAGGATGGTCCCAGTCCTTGGGCCCAACACACTCACATGAAACCCAGAAGAAGCTCCTGGCTCCTGGCTTCGGTTTGTCCCAGCTTGGGCCATTGAAGCCATCTGGAGAGTGAGCCAGCAGATGGAAGACCTTCCTCTCTTTCTCTCTGTAACTCTGCCTTTCAAATATATAAAATAAATCTTAAAAGGGGAGGGCATTTTATGGTCTGTGAATTGTATCTTTTTAAGAAAATTATTTCAAAGTCAGAGAGAGACAAATCTCTCACTGGCTGGTTCACTTCAGGTCACAGCAGGGACGGAGCCAGGCTGGAGCCAGGAGCTGGAAGCTCAGTCTAGGTGTCTCTCATGGGTGGCAGAGACCCCACTTGCGCCAGTGATGACTGCTGCCTCCCAGGGTGCGCATGTGCGGGAAGCTGGACCTGGGAAGAGCTGGGACTGCAACCCAGCCACTCTGAAGTGAGACGCAGACGTCCCACGTGGAATCACAACCACGAAGCTGAACGTTCCCCTGTATCTGAATTAAAAAACGGTGACAACCTGGGAGCAGAGGGCTTCCTCAGGGTCAGCGGGCAGACAGAGCGGGTGAACAGCACACTGCGGAGGGTGGGGCCGGCGGGGCTGTGGAATAAGGACCCGAAGGGCCTTTGGGTCCCCCCTTGCTGGGGGAAAGGTCCTTGCTTGGTGTTGCTGGCCTTGAACCTCAGGGGCGACTGCACCCTGAGAGACGGCAATCATTGCCTTAGATGTGAGGGGTTCCAGGTTTCAAACTGAAGGAAAAGCCCAAGTAGGTAAAATTCAAGGTTGTTTTAGAAAGTAAGGATGACATAACTGTGAGAAACTATAGGGATTCAGTATAGATTTACTGTGTACCTAAATGATATAAAGGATGTTCTCGAGCAGGTTGAAGACAGGATTTCATGCTGGGGTAACCTTTAGGACAACCCTAAACAATCTTGTTTTCAGTACAGGGGAAGAAGGAAGTCAGTGTGGGTATTAATGGTGTTGGAGTAAACTTGGAAAACAGGGGACTGTGGATGAAGCCGGCCATGCAAGGTTGTGCTGGCTGCACACGGCACAGCTCTGAGAGCCATTCTCACAGACAGCTGAATGTGGGCGAAGCCTGGAAATTAACAAAGCGCAGCCCTGACCTCAAGGCAGGATCCTTGGGAGAGTGGGGATTCACAGACATCAAGGCAGAGTGGAAGGAAGTGCAGGCGTCCATGTGCGGGGCCCTCTACGCTGTCCCTCATGGAGGAGGGAGGTACATTTTGGAGACTAAGAAGAGTAGATTTGTGGGCATCAGAAAGTTGGGAGCCGCTGATGAGACAAGAGGTTGAGAGCACTCAGAGTCCTCCTCAGGCCAGGCAGCCCGAGTTTCCAGTGAATACAATCACCACCACTTTACGACTGTCTCCAGCACCTTGGGAGAAAACAGAGGAGCACAAAGCCCTCTGCAGCACAGCAAGGAGTGAAGGGGTCTGTGGGTGTCTTCACTTACCCGCTGGTCCGCGCCTTAGTCCCTCACTGAGTGCCCAGGAGGAACTGGGGACTGACCTTGGGCTCTTGGAGCTCAAGGAGTAGCTAAAGGGAGACACCAATGACACCACCACATGCCACACAAAGTGACAGGCACAGGGCAGGGTGGTGCATGGGAGTGAGGCCAAAGTGAGGATCTATGGGAGTTCCGAGGTGGGCAGCTTGGGTCTGAAAAAGGACCACATCCAGGGTAGAGGCCATTTGTGTGAAAGGGAAGTGTCCCAGAGGGTCAGGTGCAGGGCTGAGGGGAGGGCAGAGGACGGGACAGATAAGAGAAGGCCCCTGGAGACAGCAGGTCTGGGGATTAAGGCTGGCGCCTTGAGTGGGACCTGGCTCCCGAGGCCGCTCCACTCAGCTGTCTGTTAGATTCGTCCTGTGCATCCGTCGCCCGTCTTCCATTGCCTGGCAAACGTTCCTTTCCTCTACTTCTACAAATACAGACTCTTTAAAGCCCCGATTCAGGTACAACAACATTCTCACTCTCTGCTCCCCTTACATGAAATAGTTTCCCCTGCATTTTGTTGTTCAAATGAGGGTCTCACGGTGGTATTTTGGAGAGACGTTTGAGTTCTGCACTATTCATTTAATGGACACATCCTTGGTGAGTCCCAGCAGGGAGCAGAGCACATGTGGTCTCATCGCCCTCACCCTCAGCTGACGCCGCAGCAACACGGTACACACCAGACAGGAAGCAGCAGTGCTGTGAGGGCATCAGACAGGTGGCCAGGGAGGTTCCCAGGGCAGGCTTGTGTGAGCCCAGGGGAAGGAAAGCCCCTCAGGACCAGCCAGGCTGACTGCAAGGGGGCAGCCTGGAGAGCGGGCAGCTGGAGGCCAGTACCTGCCTGGGATAAGGGGACACAGTCCTGGCCTTGTGGAGCCCATACGCCTGGAGGGAAGCGCAGGGGGCTCCAGAGCATGGGGAGCTGACCCTAGTGTGGGGTGGGGACACCCGGAAGTGACATCTGTAGGGTGACTCCTGGGGGGAGCAGATGACAGGTGAGGAAGGCAGGGGTGCCGAGGGAAAAGGGGTTCCAGGAGGAGCAGTGTGGTGACGGGCACAGTGGGACCATCTGCTCTCCTCTGAGAGGCAGGCAGCCCAAGGCCAGCACCGTGCATGGTGGCTGCACTTTCCCCAACACATCGATTGCGTTCTTTGGAGACACACCTCTTTTCTCCCGACGTATCTACTGCGTTCTCTAGAGACATACCTCTTTTTTTTGATTTGGTCTTTGTTTTTTTTTCGACAGCCGAAGTGGACAGTGAGAGAGAGAGAGACAGAGAGAAAGGTCTTCTTTTGCCGTTGGTTCACCCTCCAATGGCTGCCGCGCTGCGGCCGGCGCACCACGCTGATCCGATGGCAGGAGCCAGGTGCTTCTCCTGGTCTCCCATGGGGTGCAGGGCCCAAGCACTTGGGCCATCCTCCACTGCACTCCCCGGCCACAGCAGAGAGCTAGCCTGGAAGAGGGGCAACCGGGACAGAATCCGGCGCCCCAACCGGGACTAGAACCTGGTGTGCCGGCGCCGCTAGGCGGAGGATTAGCCTAGTGAGCCGCGGCGCCGGCCGAGACACACCTCTTTCTAAGCGGTGAAGAGTCATCAGCTCTTTCAGAATCAGGAAACTCTTGGTGGTCTAGTTATCTACTCCTCTCTTCGAAATCATAGCTACTAGAGAAAAGTGAAATTTCTTTCTTATGAGAATAGCCTTGGAATAACGTGAAGCTTTCCAAGTCACTTTGCCTTCCTGTAGATCTGATAGCATTCCGTACTCACGATCTTACCACTGTGAAGTTAGAGTGGAAAACACGTCCTCTCTCTCAGATTCATGGAATAACTTCAAAAGTTCTGCATCCCCAGACAAATGCGCAAGAATGCGCAATTCAATCTGCGAGAAGTCTGTTAGACAGAGCTTTGCATTAGTTCAGAACTTACCAATGATGTTCCTCACTGTTGCTTCCCCGTGCCACCCCCCACCGCAGAGTCAAGGCCAACATCCCACCACCCACGTGCCAGGATCCTCTGGCTTCAGGGCCACTGGCCATTCCCTTTGTCTGCAAGTCCAGGGGACTTCGTGCGCCTCCTGAGAGGCCAGCACTGTTCACTTGTTCATTCACACGTTCTGTAAACCAAATCTTTAGAAAAGGCTTCCTCTGTGCTTCCCCCAATGGAGCGTAAGTTGTAGGGAGAGATGGCCAATTTGAATAAGTTATTCGTTACGTAAGAAGTTGAGGGGGCTGGTGCTGTGGCACAGCAGGTTAAGCCTCTGCCTGCAGCACCAGCATCGCATGTGGGCACCAGTCTGTGTCCTGGCTGCTCCTCTTCCAATCCAGCTCTCTCTTATGGCCTGGAAAAGCAGTGGAAGATGGCCCAAGTCCTTGGGCTCATGTACCCATGTTGGAGACCTGGAAGAAGCTCCTGGCTCCTGACTTCAGATTGGCCTAGCTCCAGCCATTGGAGTGAACTAGTGGGTGGAAGACCTCTCTCTTTGTCTCTTTCTCTCTGTCTGTAACTCTGCCTCTCAAATAAATAAACAAATTGTTTTAAAAAAGAAGTTCAGAAAGGGGGCCAGTGTTGTGGTGTAGCGGGTAAAGCTGCCGCCTGCAGTGCCGGCATTCCATACAGGCACCAGTTCCTGTCCTGGCTGCTCCACTTCTGATCCAGCTCCCTGCTAATGCACCAGGAAAAGCAGCAGAGGATGACCCAAGTGCTTGGGCCCCTGACCACGTGTGAGACAGGGATGAAGCTCTTGTCTCCTGGCTTGGGCCTGGCCCAGCCTAGTTGTTGCAGCCATTTGGGGAGTGAGCAAGTGGATGAAATACCTCTCTGCTTCTCTCTCTGTAACTCTTTCAAATAAAATAAATATTTTTTTAAAAAGGTGAGAAATAAAAAATATGGGAGAAGATAATGAGGTTAGGGAGTGTGTGTGTTTAGGGAAGCTGCTGTTCTGAATGGGGCAGTCATCCCACTACAGGTCTCATCAGGGAGTGGCACTAGCATAGGCCTGGAGAACCATCGTGGCCCTGGGGAGGAGGAGTGGCCAGGGCAAGGGTGTGAGGCGGGGCCAGCTGTCCCAAAGCAGGAAGAGCAGGGTGGCCAGTGGGGCTGTGGTGACTGAGCGAGGAGGGAACAGGGAGTGGTGAGGACAGAAAGGAGGGGAGGACAGACAGGGTGCAACCACGCAGGGGTCTTTGGAATCTGCATACAGTAAGCAAAAGGACCTGTTGCTATTTATTGTGCATAAGAAAACGCCTCATTCAAACAGCTGCCTTAGACTCAAGTCCTCTAAGTACCTTTAGATTATTCCATTTCTAAATATTTGAGCTGTGTGGAAATGCATTAAGTGAGCTACAGGGACACATGGTGGCCTCTGACCCGGCTCGCACGTACCTGCTGCCAGGAAGGTGTGGCCTGCAGAAGAGACGAACATGGCCCTTGGGGAGATAGTGAGAATCTCATCTTCTTTGCCTGAATTGTTGTTTCAAGGGTACACAGTGAGTTTGGTCACGAGCAGGCCCAGCTATTCCTCAATACAGAGTTATTTAAAAATCATTCTGAGGTCAAAAGTCTAGATTTTTAGTTTTTCTGATTTATTTTTATTACTGTGATTTTAAAATAACACTACTACTAGAAGTTAACTATATTTCTTATTGAACTTTTTCATTCTGCTTAGAATTCCCAGTGAAGAAAATACCAAATATTGACAAGTGAGTACATTCACACAAGCTATCTGGAGACTTTCTGAGCCTCCCTCCTAAGAGGATCTACATGAGAGCCACACTCGACTTTCGCCCTGGACATGTAAAGGGCTGTAGGAGGCAGAGCAGCTTGTTACACTCCCCAGGGGGCCTGCTCAGCACGACTGTGCGTTCTGGGAAGGACCACTCTCAGCCTTCTTGCTTTTGTCTGAATCCAAGGCAGTGCCCAGAGCAAAGGGGGCAGCAGTGACACGGGAGGAGAGGTCACTGCAGGAGGCAACAGTGCCGGTCTGCTCAGATGTGGAGCAGAGCTGTGGCTGTCAGCAGTTCAGTGCAACAGCTTAGAAGGAAGAGGGCTGTTTGTGTCCTTTTATGGGCGCTTTCAGCAACTTTCAGGCTTTAACAAAAGCCAGGGTGCGTGCGTGCGTGCGTATTTTCTTTATCGGGAAGTTGGAGGGGAGTTGGTGGGGGACAGGTGGTAGGAGGGGAGCTATTTCCCTTGTATAATTATTATCTATTTTAACTTGCAAACTGTTGAAAGGGAGTTACCCTATCATTTTAGCTGTTAAAATTTTTTTAAAATGTGTATTTAAACTCTTGTCATGTAAGCAAAGAGGAAAACTTCAGGAAAGTGAAGCCATTCGTTGTATAGAAAAGCAATTACAAACATCCCTAGGTTTAAAAAAAATAGTACCCAAGGTTTTAGCAAAGTAGAAAGGAATGTGTTACCTTTAGTATTCTGAGGTTTAGTAATATGAATTGGGTGCCTGGAGATACCTTGGATATTCTGTTAAGAAAAGGAGAATAGCTTTAGTTGAAATCTATCTATCTATATTTTTTGACAGATTAAGTATATTTTTCCCCAGAAAGCTTTTATTTAAGGTAGATAAACTTCATGCATTTCATAAATACAACTTCAGGAACATAGTGATTCTTCTCATCATACCCAACCTCCCACCCTTCTTCCTCCTCCTCCTCCTATTCCCAATGTTATTTTTTACTAAGATCCATTTTGAATTGACTTTATACACAGACGATTAACTCTATACTAAGTAAAGAGCTCAACAAATAGTATGGGAAAAGCTGTTCCTCGATGGTTTTGATTTCTTCTGTGACCGACTGCTCACTCAGGAGCATGCTGCTCAGTCCCCTGGGATTACGTCTGTTCTAGAGATTCCCAAGCTGTTAATTTCCAGCTTCAGTCTACTGTGGTCAGAGAAGATGCATGGTATGATTTCCATTTTTTTGAATTTGCTGAGATTTGCCGTACGGCCTAGCCTGTGGTCAATTTTAGAGAAAGTTCCATGCACCGGTGAGAAGAATGTGTGTTCCACAACTGCAGGAGGAAAAGTTCTGTAGAGTCTGTTAGGTCCATTTGGTCTGTAGTGTCGATTTTTATTTTTATTTTATTTATTTATTTTTTCGACAGGCAGAGTGGACAGTGAGAGAGAGACAGAGAGAAAGGTCTTCCTTTTGCTGTTGGTTCACCCTCCAGTGGCCGCCACAGCCGGCACGCTACAGCCAGCGCACCGTGTTGATCCAATGGCAGGAGCCAGGTACTTATCCTGGTCTCCCATGGGGTGCAGGGCTCAAGTACTTGGGCCATCCTCCACTGCACTCCCTGGCCACAGCAGAGAGCTGGCTTGGAAGAGGGGCAACCGGGACAGAATCCAGTGCCCCGACCGGGACTAGAACCCGGGGTGCTGGCGCCGCAAGGCGGAGGATTAGCCTAGTGAGCCGCGGCGCTGGCCTGGTCTGTAATGTCGATTAACTGTTGTTTCCGTGCTGATTTTCTGTCTAGTTGCTCTGCTCATTGCTGAAAAAGGAGTATTGGGGGCCAGTGCTGTGGTGTAGTGGGCTAAGCCTCCGCCTGTGGCACCAGCATCCCATATGGACAGAGGTTCTAGCCCTAGCTGCTCCTCTTCTGATTCAGCTCTCTGCTATGACCTCGGAAAGCAGTGAAAGATGGCCTAAGTGCTTGGGTCCCTGCACCCACATGGGGAGACCTGGAAGAAGCTCCTGGATTCGGATCAGCCCACCTCCAGCGATTGAGGCCATTTGGGGAGTGAACCTGCAGATGAAGACTTTTCTCTCTATTTCTCTCTCTGTGTCTGTAACTCTACCTCTTAAATAATCAAATAAATAAATAATCAAATCAATAAAATAATCAAATCAATAAAATCTAAAAAAAAAAGGTGGTGTTGAAGTCCCCCTTTACTATTGCATTGGATTCTATGTCTCCTTTTAGATCCATTAAAATTTTTTAAAGACCCAAATGCCCTATAATTGTGTACACATTTATTATAGTCACATCTTACTATCGAATGATCCCTTAGTCACTACATAGTGACCTTCTTTGTCTCTTTTAACAGTTTTTGTGTTAAAGTCTATGTTGTCTCATGCTAGGATTGCCACATCAGCTCTTTTTTGGTTTTTGTTGGCAGAGGGTATCTTTTTCCACCCTTTCGCTTTCAGTCTGTGTGCATCTTTGTTGGTGAGATGTGTTTCTTGTAGGCAGCAAATAGGTGGGTTTTGTTTTTTGAATCCAATTCAGCCAGTCTGTGTCTTTTAACTGGAGAGTTGAGGCCTTTTACATTCAAGGTGACTACTGATAAGTAACCACTTGGCCCTGCCATTTTTCCATAAATATTCCTATTATTTACTTTGGATTCCCTTTGTACTTTTACTGGGAGATTTTTCTGCCTTCACATTCTTTCATAGTGATGACCATGTTTCTGTGTTTCTGTGTGTAGCACATCCTTAAGTATCTTTTGTAAGGCTAGATGAGTGGTGACTAATTCTTTCAATTTCTGTTTGTTATGGAAGGTCTTTATTTCACCTTCATGCATAAATGAGAGCTTTGCAGGGTACAGTATTCTGGGTTGACAGTTTTTTCTCTTAAGATTTAGAATATATCTTGCCCTTCTCTCCTAGGCTGTAGGGTTTCTGACGAGAAGTCAGCTGTAAGTCTAATTGGAGATCTTCTGAAAGTAATCTGGTGTTTCTCTCACGCATATTTTAGAATCTTTTCTTTATGTTTTACTGTGGAGAGTTTGACTAACAATGTGTTGTGGGGAAGATCTTTTCTGGCCATGTCTATTAGGAGTTCTATGTGCTTCTTGTACTTGGATGCCCCTTTCTCCAATTTGGGGAATTATTTCACTAAAAAGGACTTCTAATTCATTCTCTTTCCACACCTTCAGGAACTCCTAAGACCCATACATTGGGTTTTAGATAGTATCCCACAAATCTCTAATACTGCTTTTTAGTTATCTAATTTCTTCTTCTACTTTTTTTTTTTTTTTGGTCTTACTGTAAAATTTCCAGAGATTTGTTTTTTAACTTGAATATTCTTTTTTCTGTCTCACCAAGTCTGTTGTTAGGGATTTCCACCACATTTTTAATTTTACCTTTTGAATTCTTCATTTCCAATATTTCATTTTGATTTTTCTTTAAAATGTCAATTTCGGGGGGGGGTAATTTTTTATTCATGTATGGATTTCTTTAATTCATGGATTTGCTTCTGGTTACTTTTTTTTTTTTTTTTTGACAGGCAGAGTTACACAGTGAGAGAGAGAGAAAGGTCTTTTCCATTGGTTCACCCCCCAAATGGCCGCTACGGCTGGTGTTGCGCAGATCCGAAGCCAGGAGCCAGGAGCCAGGTGCTTCTCCTGGTCTCCCATGTAGGTGCAGGGCCCAAGCACTTGGGCCATCCTCCACTGACCTCCTGGGCCACAGCAGAGAGCTGGACTGCAAGAGGAGCAATCGGGGCAGAATCCGGCGCCCCATCTGGGACTAGAACTCAGGGTGCTGGTGCCACGGGAGGAGGATTAGACAAGTGAGCCTCGGTGCCAGCCTGCTTCTGATTACTTCTAAGTAATCCTATCATCAATTTTTTGAATTCCATTTCCAGCATCTCTTCAGTCTCTTCATCTTCACATTCTGTGTTTGAAGTGTTGTTGTGTTCCTTTGGGGACGTCATGTTGTCTTCCTTATTCTTGTTTCTTGAATTCTGTTTATTTTTAGGCATTTGTAGAGAAACTTGTTGGTTTTTTCTCCTGTGGTGGTTTTTATCTTTGGGCTATGCCTCTGTGGCTTAGCGGAGTGTCCGCTCTTCCAGTGAGTATCCAGCGGTGTGTGCAGGGTGTGGTCAGTGCTCCAGGGTGAGGGGGGTATCCAAGGTGACACCCAAGTTGGGTGTGGTAGATCTCTCTTTTTTTAATCAGGGAGAGGTTTGATCTGTTCTGTTGGCATAGTCTCACACTCACCTCTTCTCCAAAGTGACTGATGCCTGGGCACTAGTCCATGCTGCCACAATTAGCACACAAAGGATCCGTGCAGTCCTCGGTGTGAACTCAGATCCTGCAGCAATGACCCTCACCAGGGAACCAGGGAGCCCCGAGCATGTGGAGCCACCCACAGTGACTCCTCAAAGACTCAGCCATACCTTGTGCCCTCCTGCACAGCCACAGTCCACCAGCAGTCCCAGCACACAAGGCTCCCACAGTCACAAGCACCCAGCCTCCTGTCAATTCTCCCAGCCAGACGCAAGCCGTCTCCTCTCGGCGGGCTGCTGGGCATGTGACATGAGCTGGAGCGTTTGATCTGTACGTCTAAAATGTGTCCGCCTTCCCTCTGCTGGCTACAGGACACCAGTGCCAGGCGACGTGGTACAGAGAGAAATGTGGCCCCCTTTTTCCTCTGGTTAGGAGGTGTAGTTCCCCATGGGGCATGCAGCTGAACGCAACCAGGCTCTTCCCGCAGCTCCATCACCAGTGGCTGGGCTGCTGCAGTCTGGTCTCACCTCACCCTCCAAAGCTGGCGCTGAGGCTCTCGGCTCTGGAGTCCTGAGTTGTGCGCACCCACACCTTCCACGTAGATCCACAGTCTCTCTCTAATTTGCGAGGAGTTTCCTCTACCATTGTCCCTGTAACTCTTCCCTGAGATTGCACTCTGCACATTTTTTAACTATCTTCCTCTAAAATAGAGCTAAGCTCCTTCCCTATTTCACCATCTTGGTCTCTTCTCAATTTAATATTTTAATTTTATTTTCTTGGTACTTTTTAGAGAGGAAGAAAGAGCTCCCCAAATGCCCACAGTGGCTGGGGCCAAGTCAGGGCCAAAGCTGGGAGTAGGAACTCAATCCAGGTCTCCCATGTGGGTGGCAGAAATCCAACGACTTGAGCCATCAGTGTTACCTCCAAGGGACAGTACTGACAGCTGGAGTCAGGGATCAAACACACTTACTCTGATATGGGTGTCTCAGCCACGAGGCTAGGTGTCTACTCCTGAGATGCCTACTGTTAAATTTATCTGTACCACTTAAGTATATTTCAAATACATCACATTTAAATTTAAAAAAAATTTTTATTTGACAGATAGAGTTAGACAGTGAGAGAGAGAGAGCGACAGAGAGAAAGGTCTTCCTTCCGTTGGTTCACCCCCAAATGGCTGCTACGGCCATAACTGTGCTGATCTGAAGCCAGGAGCCAGGTGCTTCCTCCTGGTCTCCCAGGCGGGTGCAGGGCCCAAGCACTTGGGCCACCCTCCACTGCTTTCCCCAGGCCACAACAGAGAGCTGGACTGGAAGAGGAGCAACCAGGACTAGAACCCGGCGCCCGTATGGGATGCTGATGCTGCAGGTGGAGGATTAACCAAGTGAGCCACGGTGCCGGCCCCCATCACATTTTATTTTAAACATCAACAAAAAAGTAATGTGTATGTATCCTGCATATTAATATTTAATATGATTATCAAATATTAAAACAATTTTGGTGAGTACATCAC